AATATACCTGTTGTACATCTGACAGATTGAATGTTATTGTCACTGATTCATTAAAATCATTGGTATTACAGGTACCATTACATCTGACAGTTGAAGATATGACTGGTGATATAAGTTCATCATCATTTGTAGGAGAAAGGACTGATAGGTCTTTATATACAAAGGATGCTACTGTAGCTGGAACAGCATTAAATATCACATTCGGTAGTGTTAGTGTGTTGCCATTATAATCTATTGCTGTGGCTTCTTCATCAGGGAAATCTTGAATCTGTTTAACATTTAGTACTACAAGCAATGGACAGTATTAGTGCAATAACATTGATTTTTAGTTCTTACAAATACTGTTAGTAGAAAGGGATAAATCCTGTCCTACATTAAGTGCAGCATTGTCCAGTGTTATTAATAGTTGACTAAAAATAGAGACACCATCCTATGCATGAGATTCATGCAATTGATATTATTTGAATAATTAATGATACCATTTTATTTGAAGCCATCTGTATTATTTCACTAGCTATATCAAGCACTATCTAAAAACAGAAATTTAGTACTAAACTATTTTGTAAAGTGCATGCTTTGTGCTTAAGGCAAGGTACATGTATAACCAACTACATACCTGTGTTGTTTCATTATCTGACTCCATAGTGCTGTTTGTGATAATGAAGTCCAGTAATACAATGCTTTGAGCTGCTGGAAAGTCATTCAGTTGTTCTGATAGTGATTCAAGAGCAACATAATGCGATATATTAATCTATAAAGGTATTCCAATAAAAAGGCAGTGTTTGATAACAATAGATATCAAATTACTTTTGACATAATTTCTATGAATTGCTTACTGACACTGCAGTTAAGTTGACCCCATCTTCCATTAAGATCACAATATCTTGTAGCTAATAGAAAATAGTCGGTTAATTTATTACAAGAGACACTAACCATTAAATGTTCCTTTATGACAAGTACCATTTACCCATTGTCCTGGTTTAGTGCTTTCCCATTGATTAGTTCCTGGGCAATTCATTAAAGGAAGAGAGAGAGAGGGAGAGGGAGAATTAAAATGGGAGGAGAATGTTGCTGCAGTAATTGAAGCTACTGCAGGCATTGTTGTTATAAATAGAGGAGTATGTCCACTGTTTGAAGAGTGAGGTATAGATGATAGGATATGCATCGATAATGTAGAGTGAATTTGAGAAGCAGATGACAGTATTGAAGTAGGCATTGATGTAGCTTGTATACTGAAAGAGTCAATTTCAGAAGCAGATGACAGTATTAAAGTAGGCATTGATGATGTAGCTTGTATACTGAAAGAGTCAAGTTGAGAAGCAGATGACAGTATTGAAGTAGGCATTGATGATGTAGCTTGTATACTGAAAGAGTCGATTTGAGAAGCAGATGATAGTATTAAAGTAGGCATTGATGATGTAGCTGAAGGTGCTTGTATACTGACAAGAGAGAAATCTGATGAATGAGATATTGATACTAATGAATCGACAATGGAAGATAGATCTAAAGGTGGTGAAGGTGGAGATTGTGATGATGATGTGTAACTAATTTTACTAGGCAGTTGCGACAAAGTTGCTAAAGATAAAGAAGTATGACTGAGAGACAATGAAGGTGCAGTAAGTGCATACATTGAAGTAGGAGAGGGTGAAGTAAGCTCACTGACACTGGGACATGAAGTCGTAATTTCATTACTTAGTGAGTTACATACGTCCACATTGTATGGCCAGCAATATGTTGATTCATCATTCTGAATCGCTTCTGATGTAAATGATAAAGAATATTTTGTGCAAAATTCCAATTGTATAGTAGTGCTCGAATTCCTAACCACCCCATAGGTTATTCTCACACGACAACTATAACCATGCTCCCTCCACAGGAATCGTAAAAATTTAAAAGTTCTAGCATCACATGCCTCAAAAGAGTCAAAATGAACAGTCTGTTTACGCATTTGGTCTGATTCTGAAAAATTCAGAAAGTATTTTAAATTTAGTGTAGATCTAGTCTAGTCATTCACTTACTTTTGAAAGCAAAGCATTGTGGAAAAGGAATAGGTTCTCCTATGCTTGGCGAAACTATGTAGGAGTA